AAGCCAAAGTAAGTCCAAAGACAGACTTTCAAGAATCAAGAAATGCTGATTATCACAGATAAAATGGTGAATGAGATCAGATGCTTCTGGATGGCTCAGAGAAGCTGCAAAGTTTTCTGCAACCATTTTCTGAGAAGGCCAAGAGCTGTCCAGGTAAATAAACCGCTTATGTAATGATTTGGCTCAGCCATATTTTTAGAAACTGAATTAAATACAGTTTTACTTTCCCTTCATTRATCTTATTGTTTCAGGATAGAGACTGGATGACAAACAGCAGTTTAAYGTCATTAAAAATATATTTTCTGTTGCTTTTACAATTCAGACACCTCAACCCAGGGAGCAAAGTACAAAAGGTAACCTACATTTTAATTCATGTGGAATTTCTGTTAAAACTCTACGTCACTCAAAACAACTTCCTATATTTAGACTCTCATCCTCATTTTACTTCAGCATTTCACTGACAGCGCTCCTCTGACACTCACCGTCAACTGTTTTTATTGTCAAAATCAACAACTCCTCCCTCACTGACTGTGTCATCGGGGACCCCTTCCCATGTGCTCCACCTGAACGGTGCCCTCTGATGCAGGAGTCTCAGCTCCAGAAGCCCAGTGAATCACAACTCCATGCCGCACCTCGCAGCCATTTCTGTTCACAACCATCCAAACCCGTCCACGCGTCGCAGGTCAGCCGAGGTGCAGCTGCTGCTACGATCAGCAGGGGACCACAGAGACCCCCACTCCGGTACCTCCCCTCCCACACGAACAGCGTCTAAACATCAGCATCCATGGCTCAGGCCTCAACTACATCATCATCGGAGACAACAACCGCATGCACATGGAGCTAAGTGAGGTCGACACTGTGTGTGGCAGGATCCCAGCACAAACAGTTTCACTTCTCCATTTCATTTTGTTATTCCCATTTTTTACGATTTGGTTTGGTTGTTGTGAGAACCAAATGCTGTTCATTTCACGTGGATTTGTCAACCCATTTAKTTATTTTTTAACYTTCTGACATCCTTGCTTCTGCTCTGATCTCATGACTTCTATGAAACTGTCATTACAGCGTTGTAAAAAAAATTTCAGCACAGTCAAACGGCAAGAACAAAGTTCCTTCGAGTTGTGGCTGTCGCTGTTGGGCAACACTGGGTCTTCCTGCCTCTGTCAGYGGTGAGGGTGGTGGTGAGGGGGGAGGACTGGGAAATTTTACTTGGCAGCGGTTGTAACGATTCATCACTCTGTGATGGATTTAAAAAACTGGGGTTTGGAGGATTTATTTTCTCAGAGACTTGTTTATTACCTGTAACTGTACGTAAGTGTATGATCATAAAGTTATGATTCAGTGTATAATCTGGATTAGGATTATTTTCCTGTTTTTAGTGTTAAACTGTCACTGTTTGATATTTCTGCTCAAAACAAGTTGCACAAATTAAATAAAGAATTATTGGACTTTACTTAAATCCAGGTCAGTGGTTAAAACTTTTTCATGTATTCTTCTTGTTTGTGTAACCTTTTTAGAGCTTAACCAAGGATTAATCAGACTTTTTCTAAAAGATCTGTGTGTATATTCACCCTTGTTTTATGT